ATAATTTATTAGTAGTATATTTTGATAAATTTAAAAAGTGATTAATCTGATCAAATTCATTCAATCTATCCATTAATGAATTTCCGTGGATATTATCCACTAAATCAATACTACCTTAATTATATAAAAACAAATATCTAATTATGAAAACTAATAAAAATAGTTAAATTTAGTTTTAATTAAAAATGTCGTAAATCTAAATTTTACTTATAAATCCATAAAACATATTTCAAGTGGTAATTATATTTAATAACAGTAATGATAATTCAATAATTTTTTTTACCGATAGAAAGTATTTATATTGTTAGTTGTCCAATAAATATATCAATTTTCATGATACACTAATGTCTTATTAATATATTTCACCACAAATTAAAAGTGCCCTGGTAGAAAAATAAGGTGCAAAAAGAAATTACAGAAAAAATATAATGCATTTAAAAAGAAGTCAGTGTTTCTTAAAGTAAAAAAAAAAAAGGCCAGTTACAGGATGGATATATTATGTTTTAAAATTACGTTAAAATTTGAAAACATAAATAATCTTTTAAAAACTAAAACTACCATAGTTTATTAACATTGAAATGTATCCTAAAACCGAAATCATTAACTTTATTCAGTCACGACCTTCGTATGTTTTCTTGAAAATCACACAACAGCTCAACTATGTACATATAAGCTGACAATTGATGAGTGAATTGAGTCCCTAAGGTAGCAATTGAGCTCCAAATTCCAACTTAATTTTTGGCTGTTGTTCCAACAGAAGGTCCGAAAAATACAAATTGAACTATTTTTGTTGATCATAATATCAAAAGCTACAGTTGTCATCATCTTCTTTTACCCTCACCCCTTCCTATTATAGATGTAAAGTCAACTAAGCATATATAAGAAGCTCTTATCCGTTCAGAATGCATTTGTGTATATGTATGAAGTTACCATTGGAGGCTTTTGCACGAGAATAGGCAAATTTGCCTACTATATTACCAAAATAGGCAAAGTCAAACAAATTTACGTAAATGGGGAAGTCGTGGGGGGCCCAAACGACTTCAGATGAAGAAGTCGTGCCCCCCCTGCACGACTTCACACTGTAGAATTCTACAGTGCTGAAGTCGTGCACCCCAAAAACGACTTCAGTGGACTGTAATCGATTACTGAGTGATGGTAATCGATTACAAGGTGTTGAAATCGTGGTGGTCCAGCAGGACTTCAACTTGAATGGGAAAAATGCACTGGTAATCGATTACGGAATGTGTGTAATCGATTACCAGGTTTTATTATGTGTAAGATTGGCACTGGTAAGCGATTACAGGGTCGTGGTAATCGATTACCAGTGTGTTTTTTGATGATTTATGAAATTTTGTATTGTAATTGTGGTGGATCTTTTGAAGTTTATTAAGTGTGTTGATATGAAGTTGTGTAAGGACGCATCGTTGTTAATTACATTGTGATGTATTGTTTTGTATAGGAATAGTATATCATTTGATTTAATAAAAATAAGAGAATATCATAATATGAAAAGACAAAGTATTTTATTTAATGAAAAGTGCATTACATAAAGAAGAACAACCTAAAATGTAAAGAAAATGACAGTAGAAATTGAAAGACATCTACGAAGATGATCCTCCGTGTGGACCAAAATGACGACGTAGATACTGGATGTCGTGCTCCACATTTTCAACTCTAGCATCAATAGTATCGAACCGGTCACCCATATTCAGCTCCAATTGTTCAAATCTTGCATTCATCGTTTCATTAAGTGTATTGAAGCTGTCGCCTACAAATGTTCGGAGATCGTTTATCCCCGTCATGACTTCATCAAATCGATTACGAGGAGGTGGTGGTGGTATGTATAGTTCAGGAGGTGGGTCACGCTGACGTTGAGGTGGTGGAGGAGAATTTCTGTGCACCCATCTGTTGTCAGCATTCTGGATGAGTCCAAATGATTGTATGACTGCTCCTGATATCATCCAATGCCTAGTTGGTGGCACCGATATTTCATCCTCCAGTGGAACTTGAAAATGTTCCAAGATGCGGGTGACCAATGTTGGATATGGAAGTGGAGCACCGTCCCTCAAACCCTTCTTCATCCTATGTCGGATTAGATGGGTCCAGTTGATCTGCTTTGCCGTCATTATAACCCACATAATCAGAATATCTTCCTCGGTTGCCTGTGCAAAGTTAGAAACACGAGGAAACAAAACACGACATATAGTATAATGTAAGACTCTAGCCTCAGCTGTCATATTCCCGGCTAGAAATCTAGTGGTGGGGCGATTGTGTGGCAAACAAAATAATTGTCTGGCTGCGTTCATATTAAAATCATTGGCCCAATCCTCACATAATTTCCCTTCAAAGGGCAACCCAACAGAGGGAAGATTGGCTATAGCAGCGAAAATGCTGGGTTTGATAATAATTTGGACATTGTTGACCTCACTTTTCATTGTGCCATTTTCAGCAAATTTTAGGTTACTATAAAATAGACGCACCAAATGAGGATTATATGCACTAAAATCGCAGCAAAATTCATCCAATCCCAAATTTTGAAGCATCCGAAAAAATTCAAAATCATGGCTCTCAAAATACTGCTCATCTAGATATTTTGGCTCAATGATTGGGCGGTCTTTGTATAGTGATAAATACCTTTGGGCTTGTGCAGGAGTTGAAAACTGAACATTGTAGTGTTCAGCGGTGGGTGACGGCGGTGGTGAGGGTGGCGGAGAGTTTTCTGGCGGTGAAGGTTGACGGCGGCGACGTCCCCCACCTGTAGAAGATGATCCCCTTACTCTTTGCCTTTTCGAAGATTCCGCCATTTGAAAATCCAATCGGTGCAAAGTGAAGAGAATTGAAAGGGGAGTGGAGTTATGGTGTTTTAGAGTGAAAAAGGTGGAAGATTAGGTGATTTTTGGAGGTTGGAGAGGGTGGAAGAACCGTTGGTGGCGCTGCAGCTGGAGTGGCAGGGGTGGTTGTGCGTGAGGAGAGAGAAAAAGTTGAATATATAGAGTAGGGTTAGTCGCGTAATCGATTACAGGTTTGATGTAATCGATTACACGACCCCTCTGGTAATCGATTACGATAAACAGGTAATCGATTACCAGTCCGTCTGGTGTGGTCCACTTTGGAAAATCCTGGAAGTCCTATAACGGAAATGTGGTAATCGATTACGGTCAGAATGTAATCGGTTACCAGTGTGGATTGCTATGCATAGTTCAAAAAATCCTGCAACTTCTAACACTGGTGGAGTAGTAATCTATTACGAAAGACCTGTAATCGATTATCAGTCATTCTTGTGTGTGGATTTAGATAATTTTTGACCTGTTATGTTAAATTAGTTATTGAATGCATTATGTATTAAAATTGGTTTGTATATAAATTTAAGTTGAATGAGGTAATATGAGTTAATGATGATAACAACTGTTTTTTAATTACTTTAAGAGAAGTAAACAAATTACATATTTATAAATAAAGAAGGCAACCATTCTATCTATGTCCTCCAGTTCCACACGGTGGTCGTCGTCGAATTCGTTGGGCTCGCCTTTGTGATTGTTGTTTCGGTGTGGGATCGTGCGTTGGTTGGTCTTCATCCGTCGGATCGCTTTCATTGCACTGTTGACGGAGGGAGAAGATATGGACATATGACGACTAATCTTGCTGAGTGCACCAACTCCATTTTAAAGGGAGCACGTTCATTACCAATTTGTGCTCTCATCAGAACAACATTTGAGAGGACACAATCATGGTTTGTTGAACGCGGATTAAAGGCCAACTCTATGATACAAGCAGGACACCAATATCCTGAACAGATCGCCGACATCATTAGGAAAAATCAACAACAATCCGCATATTGTCATGTTCATCGCTACAATCGTGAAAATTCTGAATTTGATGTTCAAGAAATTTCAACACCTCACCACTACCGCCCATTTCCACTTTCGTACAAGGTCAGTCTAAATGAATGGTGGTGTGATTGTGGACACTTCCAAGCTACTCGTCTCCCATGTCATCATGTAATTGGTGTTTGTGCATTTTCGCATATCCCCCTAACCCAAGTAATCGATCCAGTATACAGTCTTCACAACATTTTCAAGGCATATGAAGTACAATTTCACCCAATTCAAAATGAAGACTATTGGTCTCTGTATACAGGTCCAAACTTCATACCAGATCCTAAAATGCGACGCAAGGCATCCGGAAGACCATCTACAAATAGGCTTCATAATGAAATGGATCAATCCAATCCAGATAATCCAAAAAAATGCTCTTACTGCCGCAACGAAGGTCATCATAGGGGAAATTGTCCTTTTCGCCAATAGTTTTTTCTTAATTTTACCAAATTGTAATCAAATCCATTACTTATATATTACTATAAATATTTCCTATATATATTTATTTTCTCTTTTCCTATAACATAACCAATACATAACATATGTCAAATACAAAATCATTTTCTTAAACCAAACAAAAACACACTGGTAATCGATTACACATACCCTGTAATCGATTACCAGAGTGCTTCTTCCCACTAAACCATCCTGGTAATCGATTACTCACAAGCCGTAATCGATTACCATTACGTTTTCTGTCTACACATTTCAAAATCTGGAAGTCTGCATTTCAACACTGTGTAATCGATTACAATTTCATTGTAATCGATTACATGCCCCAGAAGTCGTGTTTAGGATTCACGACTTCATCACTGTACACATGAACAGTGTGAAGTCGGGTAGGGGGGGACCGACTTCTTCTTTTGAAGTCGTTTTTACCCCCCACGACTTCACTTTTGGTCAATTTTTGCCTAGATCCGTAATAAATTGCTCGTTTTTGCCTATTTTGGTGAAAAAGCCTACCATTGGAATATTGACAACACAACCTTAACATGTAACTAAAGGAGTTATTCGAAACCTACTGAATCACGCATTTAATGGATTCCACCTGAATTTGTATTCTTGAAAAATTATAAAGTGCATTTCAAAGTTCATTATTCTTCTTTACATCGGAGACTATATTTCTACGCTATCAAAGAAGCACAAATTCAGATTATATTTCTATCCTATGTTATCAATCGAAAACTCTTCAGTCACTCAGGTCTTCCACTTTACGAAAAAGAAAATGTTTCTTCACTAGGCGAACTCGCAGGATGCAAGAAAGTTTCGTCCTCACCTGACAGATTTTGAGGATTATTAGCAGGAATCGGTGATGACGCGGCAACTGCCAGCATGGCAAGATCAATTCGAGTGTTGTTAGGCAGTGGTGCATGAATCTGCCGAATCGCCGTAATCCTACCGTCTTTAATCTCCACATTCACTGTTAATTTTCAAAAGATTTCGCATCGACAAATTGAAAGCAATACTCATCAGTTCTTAGTTACCGAACGCTTCTTAACTAGGAACATTGGACTGTAAACCTCGAAGAAGATCACAATTCTGAATCTATATCGCTTAGTATAAGCTAAGCTTAAGTGCTTAACGGAAAACTAAGTTATATTGGTTAAAACGGCGACGTACCTGGAACAGAGAACCACCAGAGAGTGAACAGGCAGAGCAGCAGGATCACGGGGATTAAGTGAATGCATTTTTCCGCCGGCGGTGAGCGTGAACGGGAAGTGTCTCTCCTTCCGCCGACGCTCCGGTGGTAAAGCGGTAGCTCGTCGAGCGAGTCTTCATCGAAGGTTCTTCTCCGCTTTGTGTGTTGCTGCTGATCTACACCGATGTTGATGGCTCTGAATTCGTCGCTGGTGCGGAAGCTCGAGCTTGAAGATCTCTGCTGCATTTCGATTCAGAGAAAAGAAGAAGAAGAAGAAATAGCGTTAGGATGTGATTATCAGAGGAAAAATCTGCAAAGTAGCTCGCAGATGGAAACTCGCTGGTTTTGTTCGTAAGGCTCGTAACAGAATTTGAGCGGGAAAGCGTTTTGACGGGTCACGCTCGTGTTTTGAGCTCAAAGTTCGCAGTTTCACTCTTGCATAATTACATGTAATCATTCTTACTCGGTTTCGTTTTTATTTTTGTAGCAAACTGGTAATTAAAATTATTAAAACACTAATAATAATAATAATAGAAATTGAATTTTGTACCTTTTTTTTAATCTTTTTTATCCTTTCGATATTTATATTTTATTAACCACTTTTTTCTTTTTATTATCTAAACAAACTATCTAGATTATATTTTCATTATTATATAATTATAATAATTGACAAAAACTAAAATTTTTAAAGATGTTTTTTATATACATATTTATTATAAGTTTACTTATTATTTTGATAGAAAACTACAAATACTTCTGTTATATAACTGTGATATTATAAAAGTTAATAAAGAATTTACTTTTATAAATTTTTATATACACAATTTTTATAATTTTAATATCGACTAATTTTATTAAAATATCAGTTTTTATTATCATAGTAGACACACTCGCTGCCTTTGTTTCTACGGGTAATAATAATAATAATAGTAAACTTTATAACCCAATATATTAAGGTATTAAATTATTAATGGACAGTGTTTTACATCTTTGAAAGAAAAAAACATTAAAAAATTAATATGCCATTATTTTTCTCATGTTGGGGTCTAAAAATATTTACTAAGAAATAAAAATAAAAAGTGTAGATATCCAGTCCAACAAATATGTTAAGTAATACGACTCCATCAAACCCATAGATATATTTGTTGGTATAAATATTTATATATTAACAATATGTATCAAATCTCAATAATTTGATTATGTTATGATAATTATATATTTGTAGGATATTTGGTCTCGGGTGTCACATTATTATAATTATTCTGATAATTATCATATATACAAAAAATTGTTATTTTATTGTTATTATATGATTTTATCGCATCATTCATAAAACCTATAAGTCATATAAATACACATGACATTTCACATGAAATACCAACATTCATTCATTCTCATGATTTCCTACTTAAAATATTCAAACTCTCTTACTAACTTGATCATCAAAGAGTCTTTTATTGGTGGATCTTTCCTTGCATTCCAACCATCAAGGTTCTTCAATCTACTCAGATCTTGCCACTTGTCTGAAGGTCCATGCTTAGGATCTTCTACTTCTATTCATTTAGTAAAATAGTCTACGACCATGATGAGAAACTTGACTTGCTCCTTTGCTAGTGGGAAGGGACCCAATATGTTCATTCACCATGTAGCGAATGCTAGGAAGTAGCTATGGTGTATAGCTTTTCAGGAGGAACCTAATGTAGTGGGCTGAATTAATGATACTATTGGCACTTCATGATGTATTCAAGGTCCTTTTTTCTTAACGTAGGCTGGTAGTACTCGAATAATAGTACTCACGTAGATATGCATCGGGCTCTAGAGTACATGTCGCATGTATTGTGATGTATCTCGACAAGCATGTGTTGGGCTTGTTCCTGTTCTAGGCACTTGAGTAGAGTTACGACAAACCCTCTCCTAAGGAATTTTCCATTATGCAAAGATAGAATTTCACTTGTCATTGTATGTACTTTGCTTATATTGAGTTGACGGGTAAGTCAACAGATACTTAAGATTGAGGTTATCCAACTTGGTGAGGTTGAGGAAATCTTGAATATGTTGTCATGATCCCAGCTTGGACTTGAGAGGGTTTGTTGGATGGGAGTTCTATCTTGGCCGATTTTCTTTGTGCTGGCCAGTTTGGACAACTGGTTGGCCCTGTCATTTTCTTCTCTTGGCATATGATTGATCTCAAACTCATCTAACTGTTTTGAAAAGTTCTTTTATCTTATGGAAGTGTGTTTTTTTTTTTTGCAAAGATGACTCCTTAGTTTGATAGTTTCCTTTTACCTAGCATGTGATAAGTTGGGAATCGTTATAACAGTGTAGCCTTTTTACTCCTAGCTCATGAGCCGAACATAGCTCGACAATCAAGGTCTCATACTTGTCTTCATTGTTGAAAGCATTTAAGTTAAAATGGATTACCTACTCTAGGATGAGATTGTCGGATCCTTCTAAGATAATTTCTACATCGTTGCCCTTCTTATTGAAGGACCCATCGATGCTAAGAGATTATGATGTGAGTTATTGTCCTTTGGACGAGAACTTAATGAGGAAATATGCTATAAATAATGACTCCATTGATGCCTTATTTTGATAGGTTAGCACAAACTTGGAGAGTTCTACCCATGTTGTCATGCATCCTATCAGTTTGGGCTTATATAAGATCTACTTAATGGAATAATTTGTGTGAACACAATAATTAGTCATTGTTAGGAGTGACTACATTCCAAATAATACTCAATGATTTAGTTAAGACTAGTTTCATTCCAAATAATGCTTGATTTTTATGAGTACAAACAATACTTAAGTTGTTTTAATTAGGAGTAGCTTATGTTTAAACAACAATTATTTGTATCTTCTAAACAATAATTTTTTTTGTGAAACTCAATCAAGTTAATTGATAACTAGATGTAGTTTGGTGTTCTAAACAAAACAGTATAAAAATATATAGAGTAAATCTTTCTTCTTTCTAGTATTTTTATATTGCATGTTATTCAAATGTAACTAATCTAAAGAGAAATTTGAGAAAACAAGTTTTGAAAAGTATTTTTGATTGTCTATGTAAAACTTGAAGTTGTGTCACTAGACACAATTTCTTAAGAAAAAGAACATAATAACGTATTTATCACGTATAATTTATTTTTTTATTCTCAATTTGGTAATTTTTTTCTAATGATCATTTATTTATTTAGAAAATTTGAAAAAAATTATATTAAAATATAAATATGTTGATTAAAAAACAATTTAAAAAAAAATCATTGTAATAATTTGATTATTTAAAATGGTAGGATTTTATTTTTTATATGAAAAAAAATAAAAATATGGAAGTTTTTATAATTTTTCTTGTCTTACATTTATGTCTCTTAGATTTTCTTTTATCCATATTACTAAGTTCTTTTTTAGAAATTTGTTGATTTTTTCAATATTTATAAAAAATATTTTTGAATTTAAAAACTCTACCAAAAAAATTTCTCTAAGACACTGCATGCAAAATATTTTTTACTTATGTCATTTAAAATAATTATAAAAGTCGTCATTAAAAGTTAAGGGAGAAGAAAAATGTATTAGTATTAAGTAAAAAAAATATGGCAAGATAACCTAATCTCGATGGAATGACATTTTTTAATTTTTAAATACTATTTAACATTAAAATAAGCATCTTTATACGGAAGTAATTGTAATAATTAATCTAGACAGTAAACATAATTTATCTTAAATAAAATAATTTTTAAAAACAATTTAAATTGAAATTCTAGAACATTTTAATCCCCTCAAAGTTACGAAAATTTCCGTGGTTAAAGAAACCAGGAAGCTTACCCTCAACTCTCACAATGTAATTGCTATTAATTTTCATATCATAAAAAGCTATTAAATAAACGGTAAAGTAAGTTACGTATTCTAAAGCCATGTTTATTTTTGGAAAGACCATGAAAATAACATTTTGATTACAGTATTAATAAAATTGAACATTAAATATTTAATATTCTAGATCAAAGTTCGAATAATTAAAAATTATAACTATCTTAATTGCATGGTTTTGGATTTGTAAAACTTTTCCTCCATTCATATGTATTTAGTATTTTATTGTTTTACAAATATAATAAACCTGCTTAATTCTTTTACAAAATAGTTGAACAGTTCCTTTTACTCATTTCTCTCCCCCTCTAACCCAACAAATACCTGTATAAACCATTCTAAAATTAGTCAAAAATTGTAATATAATAGGAAAATATTACAAATGTATCAAGAAACAAATTATTCTCTCTGTTGTCAAATTTTTGATGAAATTTAGTATTTCTGTATATCATTTTTTTATTTCAAAATAACATTTTTTTTTTCAATTATAACCTTTTAAGATGAAAAGAGAAAAAGTGATGAAATAACAAAGAAAAAATAACATAGAAATAAGAAAACGAAAAGAAGTGTAACAAGTGACTCTCTTAAGACTACACTAAAGAAAAAAAATATGGATAAAATTAAAAAGCCTAGCTTTCAAACAAAATCAAAATTCGAGATTACAAAACAATGGTTGTTCGTTTTTTCATGTTGTTTTACGTTAGAAGTCAAAAATAGTCGTGTAAAAATCAAGATATTTTCATTTTCTTGTCGAAGTCATTCTAAACCACACACTTGAACTCTCTGCTATATCCAACTTCACCTTCACTTCCAAATCAAAGTTCCATATCCCTTTCAATCATTGCAAGCCCCATAACATCACCAAGCACAAAACAAAAAAGGAGCTGATGTGGTCCACTCGTGAAAAACATTCTGTGCAAACATTAAGGATGAACTCCCAGATGTTGGACAAAGAGAACATGACATCATAGATCAAGTCATTTTGTTATATAATCGGAGGCTAAGTTCTATTCATCAAAGGGGCAAGAAGAAAAACAATGAAATATTCTTTTCCTACAGAAAGGCATCATAAGTACATTAGAAGCAGCTGCTGGCATGTACAGTGAGAAAATTCCTTTGTGAGAGAGACTTACATTTGATGAGGCACCTGCTATCTCCCCATGAAACAAAATTTGGCAACTATGAATGACACTGCATATGAACAGGCAAAAAAAAAGAATCTACTTTCCTAGTTTATGATCTGTCTGTCACATGCTCGGTGGTTAAAATAAGTCTACGTTCATCATCATCATCCCTTTGCATTACCTGAGAAGGTGGACTTCTTCTAGAGCTTTGTGCTGGATGAAGGTGAGGATCATACTTCTGAGAAGCTAAGTAATTTAGAGCTGTAACAACATCAACTATTACAGGCCGCATATTAGGCTGCTCCTGAACACACATTGCAGCAATGGCAAGAGCTTGGTATAACCCTCTCACCGGATATCGACCTTCAAGTAAAGGATCAACCATCTGGGGAAACTTTTTCCTATCTCTGAACAAGGGTCTTGCCTGAAAAGAACATGCCATGTT